GCCAGGTCCTCTTTGCCTGGGGCAGCGCGGCGGGGTCTTGTCCGTGCTGAGGACCGGGGTGGGCGCCTCTTTCCTTCTTCTCAGCACCTGCTCGTCGGTTTCTTACCGCCGCCTGGGGTGTCTGTATGGGAGGGAAGAGCATGCTGTGTGGACGCCCTGAGGTGGTCTTCGACGGCGCCCGCGGAGATTTGGATGGGGTGGCCCATTTGACAGGATGATGAACAAGCAACGTGTAGGGCGCGGTTATGGCCCTTCTGTAAAAGGGATCACCCTTTTGTCGATTTTGACAATTTCCTGAGGAAGGCTGTGGAAGAAGGTCTTGCTTGTACAAGGTCTTAAAACGCTGAACTGGTACTACATCGCAGGTGGGCAGAGGTTTGAGGCTGGGTTGTCCAGGGACCGAAGGAGAAAATACTCAAAAGTTTCACTGAAATATTTACTGAATGCCTCCCGAACCTTGCCCATCCTTAAGGAGATCACATAATAGAAACCAAGCATGTCCTGTAAAACAAAAATACTGTAGTTGCCATTATAAATAATAAAGGAACTTGTGGTACGTTGTGTGCGTATGCTGCAGTGACCTTAAGTCCGCAAAAACATGTGCCAGTTAAAACATGAGTTGTAAAGGTGCCCAAAGACACTCAGTTTTCATGGAACAGAGTAATAAAACTACCTCACTGCTGATTCAGTGATGAGGGCATGGAAACAGGAGACAGGACTTCAGTTCCTAACAGGAAAATATATCCCTCCACCTTTTGGCAAAGGAGGCAGAACTCATGGTATTCAGCTCTATGCTACTTACACTACTAGACAGCAGACCCATGTTGGAACATTTTCTTTCTAAGTCCCCAATACCTTATTATAGCTGCTTGTTCACATTAAGAGCATAAAGTATGCTGTTGAAACTCCAGCTGCATGTTTATCCTTTACTTGCTGGAAGGTGCCTTGTTGGAAATCTGAATGACCTGGGAGAGAAGGAGCAAATGCCCAACAGCCCTTTTGGCTCTCTGCCTGCCCCCTCATAACCAGGTTACTTTGAAACCAACTGCTGCTAGGCTGTCAGAATCAGCCCAGCAAGAAGGGGAGTTTGGCTTTCCATAGTCAGGAACCTACAGAGGTGAAAATATTTCTCCCTTTGACAATCCTACTGTCTTGCTCCATTATTAGAACTTAAGTAATATACCATTTCCAATTTTTATCTAGTAGAAATCGGTGTTAGATGAAAATGAGGCCTAATTCCCTGGAATAATTTCCTCCCTGATAGCTCAGCTTAGATCAGAGGTAATAGTGCTGTTCCTGATGTCAAGTGAGTAGACGGTGACATCTCAGGCTTCCTTGGCCATTGTCTTAGTCGTTTGTAGGTTATAGATCCTAATTTCAGACTTGCTATTCTGGGGCAAAGCCACAAAATAGAACTAATGACTATAATTAAAATAACATAAACTTTAAGTGGAATAGTATTTTCCTCAGTTGTAGTTGATGCTTTGGGTACTCAGTGTGTTATAGTGGATAGAATGGTGGACTAGGATTCTGGAGACCAGGGTTCGAATTCCCACTTCGCCATGGAAACTCACTGCAGGGCGCTGAACTGGTAACTTTCTGTTTCTAGCTTTTAATAATGTAAGCAGCCTTGAGTCCTTCTTAAGGAGAAAGGTGGGGTAAAAATATTTCATCCTGCCTTCTCATGATGTGCTCAAAGTAGGATAGCCTAAGTTACAACATTTTTGCCTCCAGAAATAGCTCAGGCTTGGTTTGATCTAGGGCCCAGTGGTTGATATTTTGGCCAGCCCAGGGTATCTGCAAGGCTGTCCTCCACCACCCTATTTCAAAACAAATCAGTTTTTTTTCCTGTCACCCTTCTTCACTGTCCAGGTTTTACACCCATACATAGTGATCAGAAATACGAAGTGTGAATGATCTTGGCCTTGGTCCCTTACATATAAACTTGATGATCTATAAACTTGATTGCTGCCCTTCTGAGTTTCATTCTTCTGATTTCTTGGCTGCAATCTCAATTTGGATTGATTTTTGAATCAAGGTATGCAAAATATTTTATGATTTCAATTTCTTCATCATCAACCTTAAAGTTGTATAGTCCTTCTCTAGTCATGGTTTTTGTCGTCTTAATGATCAACTGCAGTCCTGCTTTGGTACTTTCTTCAATTTCACTATAAGTTGTTTCAAGTTATTGTTGCTTTCTTCCCGTAATATGGTGTACTCTGCATATCTTAAATTGTTGGTGTTTCTTCCACTAATTTTCTCTCCTTCTTCATCTGAATCTAGTATGGCTTTCTGCATTATATGTTTTGCATACAAACTGAACAGATAAGAGGAAAAAATGCACCTTTGTCTCACTTATTTACCTAAAGGAAGCCATAGCCATGCAGTGGTCACTTATTTGCCTAAAGGAAGCCATAGCCATGCAGTGGTGCCCCGCATGACGACAATAATCCATCCCGGGAAAATCGCTGTTTAGTGAAATCGTTGTCATGCGAAAACCCTTTCTCCATTGGAATGCATTGAAACCCGGTTTAATGCGTTCCAATGAGGAAAATACCTCATTATTCAGCGAAGATCGCCCATTGGGAAGCCATTTTGCAACCGCCGATCAGCTGTAAAAATGGCTGCCCTGCGAAGCATGGGTCCGGAAAACACAGGGCAGCCATTTTGTGGAGCTGAAAAAATCGTTGTCTTGCGAACAAATGGTTCATGAAGCACGGACCTAATCGATGTCCAGCAAAAATCCCCCATTGGAATGACTGTTTTGCGAATCGCTATAGCGATTGCAAAAAGTCATGCGGATTCGTCGTTTAGCAGGGTCGTCGTTTAGCGAGGTACCACTGTATTCTGTCCTAATGGTAGCTTCTTTTCCAAACACTACAAGTTATACTGTACATCAGGATCACCAAGCGCTGAGTCACTCCTGTTTCTTTTAGAACAACCCATAATTTCTCATGATCCATACATTCAATGGTTTTGCTGTAGTCTATAAAGCACAGACTGATCTTCTGAAATACTTTGGTGCTCTCTAGTAGCCAGCAGATATTTGCACTATGTTCTTGAGTGCTTCTTCCTTTTTGGAATACAGTTTGAACATTAGACATTTCTTGCTCCAAATAAGGTAAAGCTGTTTGTTGCAACATCTTGAGCATCTTTGCTTGCATGGGAAATTACAGGAAAGATCCTATAGCCACTGTACTCCTTGGCTTCCCCTTTCTTGAAGATTGTTTTGTATTTTCAGCATTTCCAGTATGTGCCATGGTTTTGTTTTCCATACTGTTATCTCTTCCATATGGGTCTTCAGTATATTGTTTCCACCTTTTCTTTATTTTCTCCTGATCTGATGGTGTGCTCTTTCAGCTTTCCTAATCTAGGTTAAAATTTATCTCCGATTTCTTAGATCTTCTGGAAAAGGTCTCTTGTTCTTTCCTTTTTGCTGTTCTCTGTTTGTTTGCACTGGTTGTTGTAGTAGTTCTCTTTGTCTCTACATGACATTCATTGGAAAACTGCATTGAAGGTTCTGACTCCTGTCCCAGTTTACTTTTGCTTCTCTCCTGTCCTTAACAATTTTAAGTGTTACCTCTTTCATCCAGCTAGGTTTTTCTTTTGTTTTTACTAGAGGAATTGTCTTTTTACATTTTTCTCTTAAAAAAAAAATCTGGTTCTAGTTCACAGTCAGTTGAGTTTAGTACTGCAAATCTCTTCTCCATATGAGCTTTAAATTCATCAGGAATGTTGTTTATATTTTGGCAGTAGGGTTCTTTTAGAGCTCCTTTTTCACCTTTCATATTTGATATTGACAGTTCATGATCAGTACCACAATTTACTCCTTGTCTTGTTTTGGCAGAGAGAATGCAGCTTCTCCATCACCTGCTTCCAATTACATAATCTACTATATTTTTCCATGTATATAATGACACTTTTTAACTTAAATAAATAGACAAAAAATGAGGGTTGTTTTATACACGGAAGGCAGCCGCTTTCCCTGCCTTTTGCGAAGCCACAGGGTAAAGCAGTCGTTAAAGGGCAGCAGGACCGCACCCCTTTGATCCTGAAGCCCTTTCATGGCTGCTTCAGGACCAAAGGGGTGCGATCATGCAAATTTTCTAATTTGGGGGTTAGAAAAGGGGGGTTATCTTATACATTGGGTCATCTTGTAAACAAAAAAATATGGTACAGAATTTGAATTCTTTATTGGCCATCTGGTGATGTCCATGAGTACAATTGTCTGGTTGCTTGAAGCATGTTTTTGCAATAAACAGACTGTTGACTTCACAGATTTCTATGAATCATTATCCTGCTTAGTTTCTGACCGCTAGACCAAATTTTCCAACAACATTTGGTTCTGCTTAATTTCCTGCATTTGTGGTCCAGTCATCTATAATGATAAGCATGTCTTGTTTTGGTGATCAGTTTCCTTCTGGATGCTTACATAAAAGTTTTCAATTTCATCTTCTACAGCAATGATAGTAGAAGCATAGACTGGAGCAGCACGCTTTTTGAGTGTTAGTTATGTTGATCAGTTTTCTCCGGAGTCTGTTGGATATAATTCAGTCAGACCTTGCGTTATAGCCCTAACTGCTTATGCTGTATCTTACATCTGTATTAGAGTTACTCAGTTTGTTCTGAGTTTGTCATTTCCAGAACAGAACACTTTATAGTTGTCTTACTGAAAATGTCCAACTCCAGTCCATTTTAGTTCACTGACACCAGGTACTGCAATGTTTAAACATTCCATT